GACTTTTGGAAAATTGATGTAAATTTCCAATAAGATAAGATTTGTGACTTATGGAAAGTATTACGTAGAACTTATGGAATAAAACTTCCATAAAAGGAAATTTATTTGCATAAGTTCATCATAAACAACAAGATAAGTAGACAATCTTATGCTTTAGCCATTTTATGTTAATTCACCATAAGTTTATCATAAGCCACAAAAACTTATAATAATTTGCACCCTGTGATATAATTACGGTAATAGCTGTAATGTCACTGTAATGAATGCCGGTGCATGCTCACATATGCCTTTACAGACCGAGTTGCATAATCCTAATGCAACAGGGAGATGCACTATGGTTTGATGATTCCAGGCACATATGAATGGCTGTTTTACAACAGAGGGGTGCAATCTTTATCCATAGGTAATCAACATAAGCTACGAACAAATGGAAGACAAGAAATGATGAAAAAATCTGGTCGACAATTTTTAGGAAGTGATCGAGTAACAACTATTTCAGTTTGTCGCACCCCTGGAAAAACCAGGTTCACGATATTCTCCTATCCGGAGACAAGAGGGTTGTGCCTACGACAATATCAACAACCAGGCCAGAAGCCAGCTGTGGCCCAATCGATTATACCAATGATAGTTCCTGTGGCTTCGTCGACGATGATATCCCGAGGATGCAGATGAGCATGAGCATGAGCAAATCGTTAAGGGGTGGTGAAAGGCAGGCGAGATGCTGAGTCGTTCGTATAGATTTCTGTGCAAAGATAGAGAAGATACCGATATAAACCGATAAACCCCATGTGGGAGGTGAAAGGATGGCATGAAAGTATGTGAGTGGGGAAGAAACAATTGCGATGCAGCCCATTAGTAACAGAACCTAGTATTTTTGGGCGGAAGGCATTCGTCTCTCGTAAGACATTGAAGTGGCCACATCAGAGAGTGTATCGGCGGTTATGGTATCTATGACTTTGTTCAGTGACATTCCAGGACATTCCCATTGCTCCATGCAAAGATATCAGACTCTGCGGGAACCACTATGACGATGGGGCTCTTTCAATGGTGGTGAAGAATTCGTGGAACCGGAAAAGCAAAGGTCGCATAGTACTGCATCGCCCTAATCAATACACCAGGCTGTTCTATTACTCTGACGTGCCCAAAAAAGGTCAACTTCGTACGCCTCAGTTGGTATGGTTCTTGAATTCGTACGTTTTTGGGGTCCACGAGGTGGTAAACGCCCATTGTTGGGTGCCTTGCCGTAGCAGCAATCTCCCGGAATCAATCCGATATCGATTTTCCTTGACCCAACTTGAACCGCTTTCATCAACTCGCAATTAGTCTCGCATCTATCGAACATACATATCGAGCCCGGAAGCCCACATGGTCTATGAGTGAAGGATACCGCCTTTCCCAACGACAACAACATCTAGAAAGAGAAAAAATACCGCTCGACGGAATCGTAACAATTCAGCATAACTGAAAGTATCATGTGACCGCGGATAACTATATTAAGCATATCTTCAGTCACATGATATCTCAGTTGAACTGAATTTTGATAATTCCGTCGAGTGGTATTTTTTCCGTTCCCGGTGTGTAGTTGAAACTTGAATTGTAGGTCGAATGAACATTGTACCCTGGTCAAATCTCTTGTTCCAATGAACAAGACCGGTATAAACTCGACCATATGTGTATGCCATAGGAAATTTGTACTGTAGCAGAGGAACATGCACAAATAATGTATATGATAAATCTCATTCCTCGTTCATCTTCATGATGTCCGTCGAACAAGTCCCCTCCGTATCAGCCCCAACTTCCAAAAAGGACGCGAGCAAACCTCGCCGTCGCTTCATTGGCTCAAAATCCTCCAAACCGACGTCCTCCTCTAATCCTTCTAACTCTGTTCTACGAAATCAAATCCCGGCAGAGATCTTCGAAGACCCCCAGTTGAACGCGATCATCGAGGAGGTCCTCCCCCGAAACTATAGTTTTGAGATCCACAAAACCATCCACCATGTGCGAAAGAATGGGAGTAAGATGGTAGCTTTGCAGATGCCTGAAGGATTGCAAATGTTTGCGTGTGCGATTGCAGATATCATCGAGAGGTAGCTAACTATTCACCCTTGGTCACCTTGACGTTCAACATTGCCAATGACTGGATCATCTTGCAGATTCACCCCAGCATTGACAACGATAATGGGAGATGTAACCTATGGAGCTTGTTGTGTTGATGATTACACTGCACTCGCTCTAGGCTGTGACATGCTCATACACTACGGGCACTCCTGCCTCGTTCCCTCGAATTTCACTCAGGAAATCAAGACTTTGTATGTGTTTGTCGAGATCGGTATCGATTCAGTTCACGTACACCAGACAATTCGCGCCAACTTGCCCAGTGATCGCGATGCATTTCACGATGCCCTAATGATGACTGGGATGGGAGAAGGAGGCGAACAGGAAATTCAGGTTGGAGAGAGAATACCTATTGCTGGTCCGGGACTCAGGATCGAAGCTTCACCGCATAAGTCTGTAGAGGAAAAGGACCGCGATGTAGCTGTGATACTCGCCGAACAGAAAGATTCGAATCCGACTAGGCTGGCATTAGTGTCGACAATTCAGTTTGTCGCTGCTCTGCAACGACTAAAGGAGGACTTGAGTGATCCATACATCCCTTCTTCGACTTCTGCTACTCCTCTATGGACTTCCCCTTATGAAACAACCATTCCTCGATCTAAACCTTTATCGCCTGGTGAAATTCTAGGATGTACTGCACCAAAGCTGGGCGAAGAGGTCGACGCGATCGTGTAAGCTACTTCATTATATTCATTTACATGTCTTTCCCCATGACTTCTTTCAGCTACTTAGGTGATGGACGCTTTCACCTTGAAGCCATCATGATAGCCAATCCATCAGTACCAGCGTTCAGGTATGATCCATATTCGAAAAAGCTCACTCGTGAGCGGTATGGCCACAAAGAGATGAGGTCAGTGAGGAGAGATGCAATTGAGGGAGCAAGGAAAAGTATTGGTTGGATTGAAACTGTTGAATTGCTGAGAGGGACGGCGGATCCTGCGCCTATTGAGGAAGAAGCAATAGATACACCTCTTTGGGGGTTGATACTTGGCACTCTTGGTAGGCAAGGAAGTTTTCGGCAACTACAGGTAAAATTCTCTGTCTTTCGTCCAACGTGTGCTCCCTGTATTGAAATAATCTTAGGCGATAACAAATCAGTTACAAGAGTCTCGTACACCTATTCCCTACATGCCTATCCTTCTCTCCGAACTCTCCCCTGCAAAGCTGGCACTTTTCAACGCTGGTCGAAGTCCATCTTCCTCTACCATTGATACACACTCACACGGACTCCAACAATACTCTAAACTACCATCGACCAATCATCCTCGAATATCTACCTTTATCCAGACTTCTTGCCCCCGACTTTCCATCGACTGGGGGTACGCATTCGAGCGTCCGTTGTTGAGCCCGTATGAATGCGCGGTAGCGATGGGTACAGGGAAAAACACGGACTGGTTTGATTCTGGAGTGGAGACTAAGACTTTAGGAGGATTCGGTAAGCAGGAGGATGACCACTATCCGATGGACTTTTACACTGCTGGTACTCCGTGGGCCTTGTCGAGAGTCAAAGGTGTATTTAAATAGAAGATCAAGTTTTAGGGCTCGATAATTAGCTGTCGGCGCAGAGTGGGCTGAATCGAATTAACTCTTCAGATTCCGCAGTGTTACCACCGAGAGTGACAAATTGTGACATCAGTCACCATCCATTGTGTGACAATTACTTTTACAAGCGCTATCTCATACCATGTCTGAAAGAGGTCGTTCAACTTCCCCTCGTCTACCGCAAAACTCCGCCACCGATGTTGACATGGACAAAGGGAAAGAAAATGTCTTGCCAGACGCCAAGGTTGTCATAATCAACAATTTGACGCGAAACGTCGTTGAGTCGCACCTTCGTACTGTATTTGGTTTTTACGGCCAAATTGTAAAACTTGATCTGCCACTTTTCACTAAATGTGGGTGGCATTATCGTTTGTTCATTTTGGAACGATTCTCATCCTAATCACTCATTTCTAGCTGGTCAAAATCGAGGAAAAGCCGCCCTCGAATTCTCCCAATCTTCGGAAGCACATGTTGCTGCGTCTCACATGAATGGCGGACAGCTGGACGGAGCTATCCTAAAAGTTGAACTCTCTGATCTCCCCGTCCGCCCTCGTTCTCCTCGTTCCCGTTCATCTCGGTCACGTTCGCCGAGACCTCCCCCTCGTCGCAACGGTCGTGACAGAGCCAGAAATCGATCATTCTCTCGTTCTCCATCTACTTCACGGTCTAGGTCGCCGCCAGGTCGATACCGTCGCAAAGATGACGGTCCGGGGTTCAGAGGAAGAGGCTTTGGCCGTCGTGGACGTGGGGGTCCTCCCCCACGTAGAGGGCGTATGAATGGAGCTTCTCGTTCTCGCTCGCCTACAAGGAGGGGCGGGTTAGGTCCGAGAAGGAGATCTCCAAGCTACTCAAGAGGTGGATATGGCCGCAGAGGTCGCTCAATCTCTCGTTCTCGCTCAAAATCTAGGAGCAGGTCGAGGAGCTACTCCGTCCGGTCCAGTAGATCCCGCTCATACTCTCGTTCGAGGTCGAGGACAAAATCTCGGTCAAGGTCTCGGTCGATGTCGTATTCTTCTTACTCCAGATATAGTCGGAGCCGTAGTCGGAGTAAAGCCAGTCGGGATGATATCAGAGACAGCCGGTCAAGGTCGCCGGGAAATTAATTATGTCGCTGTTGAATGTGCATAGTTATTTATGAGAGTACATACATACTTAAGTTCTTGTCCTTTACCATTTGATTTTTGATGTTGCATTTTTTTATGGTGGAAACGAACACGCCAGTTTGTAGTCCGATATGGTGTAGTGGCTAACGTTATCGCCTCTCAGCCGATTGTTATCGAGATCGCGATAGCCCGGGGTTCGATTCCCCGTGTCGGAAAGTCTTTTTGAAGCTCTACTAATTGTTTGTTCGATTTTTTTTTTTGCCTGAATTCAACCTTACAAATTAGTAGCCAAAAGAATTGCAAAACATTAATTGATTGACTGCATGGTACATTTTTGAAGAGGTTGTCTGGCTCATCTTCGCTAAATAATACAATAGTACAAAACGCACGACGATAAAAGCAGCAGCTTCATAGTTCACCTCCACACGCATTCTGCAGAAAGTGTTGTGACGATAAGCTAAGAGATATAATGCAACCTTCCAAAAGTCCGCGTACGACTTGAATGAAATCATATATCAATAAATTGTAACCCAGTGAATCATTAGCAAAATCCAATTAACGCATCACCACCTTAAGGATACTGCCCCATTCCGTTTACATTTCACCTCAGACCGAGCCAGCGACGAGCATTAACTCATGTCATCCAAGTCAGTAAATCCCATCCCCTTCTTCCTCAAATTGGCATATCTCCCTGCGCTCTTCCCAAAATCCTCGAACTCGTCCTCCGTCCCGCCTTCGGGTTCCTCATCCACATCCACATAATCCTCGTCATTATCGTCCTCTTCAACCTTCCGAGATGCGAATATATCTGCATGCGACGACACCGATTCTCCACCGCTATATGTGAATCCACGAAAGTTTTCCTGTACACTATTAGTAAGGGGTGTACCCGCGGGTTGTCGCTGTTTCTTATGTTGTCGCCCATTAGCATGAATATCGATTCCGTTCGCGACCCGGTTGAGTGATGACTTTGATGATCGATTTGACTTGGTTGAAGCGCTACTTCCATTCCGAGATAATCCACCCCCACTCCTTGAGGATTTATCGGCTAAACAAACAACGTATATTTGCTTAGGTGTCGCCCTCATATACCTCATTCTTCACGTCCTCACCCACATATTTTCCGAGAGATTCC